AGATGAGTGTGCAGATCACACAATTTAACACTGGTTTGGTTCTGTGATGAAATAGCCCAACAATTGCGTATCACGGGCTTGCAATATAAAGTTAGGGTGAAATTCTGTGCATGTTCAGACAGAAAACATCAGGAATTCCCCAGCATTACCCAGCCTGCCATACTTCGAGACAGAAGTCTATCTAGCACTTTCAGATGCCATGCCTACTGGTAAGCTGACTTGGCTGGGCGAGGCCAGATAAATGCAAACTCAGCCTCCATGAGAACTTTAAAGGATATTTTTCATTTAAAAAAAATCAAATTTGCAGCATTAAAAACCTTTATTGAGTAACATTCTTCCCTTACAGAAGCAAACTCTTGTGTCTGAGAAAAATAATTGCTGTGGGCATAATACATTTCTATATGTCACTTTCTAAAAAGAAGCTTGAAACAGCTTTTGGCATTCGAAAGCTGAAAGCTTTATGAACAGAATTTCAATAAAGCCAAGACGGCTGCAAAGAGCTCCATTTTGCACCTGTCCCAGGAATTTATGTCCAAATGATATTGTAGTATTTTCTGTGGTTTGTGTGCTTCTGAGACAAAGACTTTATTTTATTAAATGAACTCGGAAATATATTGCTTGTCTGAAAGAAAAGTATTTATACAAGAGCCTCAAAAAGTCTTCCTCAGTGTGATTTTTTTTTTTGATATATAAAGACAATAGTGGAGCTAGTACTTGTTTATCAATTGCCTTTGCCAAGTTACCATCTTGAAACTAAGTTTTAAAATGTTAAGTAGAATCGCTTGTGCTTTCAGTTCCATGTATGAATGCTAACACCGTGAATATTATTTAGAAACCTGATTGGAGAGGGCAGCTTTGAGATGATTACATAGGAAAGTTACTACCTCCGTTAACAAAATAAGTATTTCTGCCTTAAAGCACAACATATAAAATTGTGCCTCATGAGAAATACCATCTCCAGTTACCTCTGTTCTACCTGATTCCTTGTGTGGCATGCTATTTTCCCCATAACATTCCTGTGTCTCTACATGAATTTATTCACTGCATTTTTATTTCACCCAATAGCCAGAATAATTCCATCCATACGTTCCGTGAGACCCTGCCCTTCTGTCCTCAAGGGCAATACTGAAGAAGGTCCAAAACTAGGCTATCAATGGACACATTGTGCCACCAAACAATGGATTTCCATTCAAAAATGGCCCACCTCAGCCATTCAGTTAGGAGTTTCTTAAAACAAACAAACAAAGAGCAAAGGTGTTCCTCTTCTGCTTTGGTTCACCATCATATTTATATTTGTCTATCACTGGAGAAGACAATAAGGAAATTTGAAGGCAGATGAAGTGGACTGCCTTCATGAGATGGACTGATTTCATAAGGAAAGCCACAACCTTGCACCTGCAAGAGGTGAGCAGGGCTGCCAAGGACAGGACACTTTGGAGGTCATTAATTCCTAGGGTCACCATAAGGTAGAGATGAATTGATGGCAGTAGCCTGCAGGTCCACTGGCATTTCTAGGTAGAGCTGAGCAGGAACATTCTCCTCAGTCTCTGGAGATCTGCTGCTAGTTAGCATAACCAGGCTAGACAGCCTGGTATCTCCCAGATGTTTTGGAGAACAACTCCCATCATCTTTGGCTAGGAAGTATGAGTGCTACAATTCAAAACTCACAGAAACCAAGTCTAGGCAATGGACTAATTATCTGACTTGGTAAGAGAGAACTTTCTTTGTCCCACGTGATGAGCAAAATTTCTCAGAAGCTTCTGAACAGTCTGCGTAACTTATTGCTCACCTTCCCACGTAACCTCCAACCATCCTTTAATTTCTCAGCCATTGCTGTTACCATCCATCACTGTCATCAGCATAATTCGAGATAACTTACTGTTGTATACTAATTTTTCTAGAACTAATAGAGAACCCTTACACAAATATTTAGCTAGTGAAAAGCCTTACATAACTATTTAATCTTCCCGTTCACCTTGAGAGCAAGTCAAATTCTGTAGCACCAGCCACCGCTCAGGTATATTCCCAAGCAAATCCAAGATTTCCACAGTAGCTCCCACCGCAGCCTGCTCTCGACTCAAAAGCAAACTGCACAGGTTAATTGACAAAGTTAAGACTCTTCTCCTCCCGTTATCCTCTCCGGTGATGAACATACAAAGCACTCATCAGCCTTCGCCCCCGGGCTTTCTCTTCCAAAGCCCCAACTTATTGGAATGATTATAGCAAGGAAGCATCCTGTAGCATCCTGTATGCAAAATGTTCTGTATCCAAGGAAACGGTAACAGTGAAACGAAAGAGTGCTATATTCACCGTAACTCTTAAATCAGCACCAAGACTTTCCAAAGCCTTTGGACCATTTATTAGTGTGAAAACTGTCAATGCCATGGACGTTGTGATAGCTTAAACATGCTACAGCCAAGAAAAGCGGGGGGGGGGGGGAGTAGGAGGAATGCTAACAAGGTACCTTTCAAGAAAGAATCCTATTGTTTGTAGCACAGAACCAGCCCCCTCTTAGCATCTTATTACAGAGTAACTGCAGGAAATATCACACAGCAGATGCATAAATGAAGCTGTTGGCCTACTTTACAACATGTTTTACCCTCCTTAGGAAAAAAAAAAAGAACCTCTTTCATTTCTAGCAAGAGTTACATTCACACAGCAAGCACCAAAAGGATATAATGGCATATTTCAGTTTGCCCACAGCTGAGAAAGGGCAGGCATTCAAGAGCATAGCGGTCATTTAATTGTAGGAAACAGTTGTGTTTGTTTTGCCTTCCTTTATGCATTCATTTAACTCTGTAAGACTTCGGTATTTCTGACCAGAACTATTATGGGTCTGCACCATTGGTAGCAGCTCAAAAGCAAAAATGTTTATCTCCCACTTTCTGTGTTCACAGAACAGTAATATTTTCTGGGAAGAGAAGCAGTCGCAAAGGAGATGCCAAGGTAGAAGGGCGGGGCATGCAGGGTATTTGAGTAGGTGTTCTACATTTGAATATCAGTGAAGCCACTGTTCACATTTGCACCCTGCACAGGCAGTCAGCAACTTGTGTTTGCTTCTACCCACAGCAAAAAGCCTTTAAGGGTGAAGGATGTGGGTGGTAGGATACAAGACGGAGGCATCAGGACCAGTACAACAGAACTCAAGGCAAGATAGACTCCAGAGTCCAGTAGCAAGGTTCAAGTTGCAGTCAGGAACAAGGAGTATGTATCAGGACAAAACATGGATGTTACTCAAGCCAATCGCTGAGAACCAACAAGACAAACAGATGTGCAGGTACCTTGAAGCAGGATATACAGCAAGGAAAGATATATAGCCAGGCATGATAGACAGCCAGGGTCAGGCAAGATACAAGAGCTGAACCACAGCTAGCAGGAAAACCTGCATTGCTGAGGCAACACAGCAAGGCAGGAACCAAATGCAGCAGGTCCAGGTAAGGTGAACCACACCCAGGAAGACCTGGGTTGCTGAGCTGAGACAGTGAGGCAGGATGCAGGCACCACTACAGCCAGTTCTGGAAGGAAGAGCTTGCTCTTAGGTAGCTCTTCCTGCAGGACTCCTGCAGACACTCTGGCAGAGTCTGGGACCAACCCTGCCAATACTGAGGTGGGTTATCACACCTGGCCACCACATAGGGCCCCAGAGCAGCCAAAATCCTGGCAAAGTGATCCCGTCCAAGCTTCCATGACACAACGCACTATCATGGCTTGTTAACTGCCTGCTGATTATGCAGACCGGGCTATCACCTCTCAACCTAGATTCCCCATAGGGGGCCTGGCTTAAGGATCTAAGTTCCCTAAGTACTTAAATGTCAAATTAACATATACACCGAAATCTGTCACTCATTACCCAGGCTTGGCACAGGTCAAGGGGCAGGCTTGTCAGAAAAAGACAGGGCAGAAGTAAAGCACAAATGGTCTACTCCAAGCATAGGCAATGCCAAACCCTCCAAAAGTTTTGGACGGCAATTCCCATAATCCATGAGCAGTGTCTATCCTGTCTGGGACTTGGGTAAGTTGAACTACAAGTCAACTTAAGAGTGCCAGGTTGTTTATCCCTGATGCAGTCTGAACATAAGTAACTATAAAATAAGCATCATCTGCAAACTTGTATGGGATCAGGCTCATTCAAGTATATAACCTGGAAAACATATTGGTTTTATTGGTTTGCCTTAATCTGCAGCATTTTCAGCTTATGGGCACTGAAATCTCATTTGCTATTTCGTGGCCCATTCACCTGGTTGGGGCAGATGCTTTGGAAGCTTTTTGCATAGTGTTTTAGCCTGCAAAAGCTGTTTGGGGGATGAAAACGTGACAGATTTCTCTGGTTCAGTTGTGTGGGTTTTGTTCCATCTACCCTTGATTCCATCTGTAGCAAGAAACCAATATTTAGATTCTGGAGTTTCTCTGAAGGCAACTGTTTGTGCAAATTATATTTGTTGGGAGCAGTGGATCTTCACATTTGCACAATCAGCATCTTTTGTAACTTATTGGACATCTTGTGCAAATGATTCCAAGTCTGCCTCCCCACTAGGTACTCAGCAGAGATGTATTCCCCCCTTTCCTTGCCAATTTAATCCTCTCGCCAGATTACTCCCTTTTGCTACATTCCCTGCTTGTCAAGGAACCTGTCAATTCCCCCAAACTAATTTCCTGCAGGGGAAGTGAAGCATGGAACTGACAAGTGCAAATGCAACTGTGTTGAGTTAAAGGATGTAGCTTGAGAGAGGATGAACTTGATGAAGATATTGACAAAAGGGGAATACGCCTCTACACAAGAATGCAGTGGACAGAAGGATGAGTGATCATGCACTTGTGGATCATTACCCCCACCCAAAAATTAAACTAACCACCCAAATTGCACAAATTTAAGATTCTGCTACTAGGAGAAAGCAAATGGAAGAATTCCCCCAACAGGTGCTTATTATTTCCAGAATTGGAGGGTTAGGTGGGACTGAACCAGCTATACTCTGCTGCCACTATACTCTGCTGCCACTTACCAGTATGAAAACACACTGCAGAATTCAACCAGATCACAAAGAGAACAAAATTTCCGGCATCGCACATCCCTATGGAGCTTCAGTTCTGGCCCTCCCGAGTAATTTGGTGCCATCTGCAGACATCGTCACTTCACAGTTCACTCCCGAACTCGGTCGCATTTATGAGTAAAATCCTTGGGAACCCTGGGAATGGGTGAGAAGTTTGGTCAGTTCATTCAGTTTACTGTTCCAAACACTGCATAAGGATGAACAAAGTTATACAGCAAGATTCACATTTCTCAGAAAACTGCTGTGCAGTTTGCAGATTAAAAATGAATGCATGTAAGAGGTAAACATTACAGAAAATTGCACACAAAAATGTGTCTATGATGGAAAAGTGTAAACAAACATGATTCATTTTGGAGGCAAATCACTTTCAAAAACTGAATATATTTGAAAAATAGCATGCAGAAGCACATGTAGTTTGAGAATTGGATACAAGTGTGTTTAAGAGATGTGCACAAAATAGCCATACAAATTATTCAAGCTAATTTGAAAAAAAAAGCAGAAAAAGAAAGAGGAGGAGGAAAGGAACCAATTCCAGCTGGGTAAGAACAATTTTAACAGGGCAATCATGAGAGTTCCCTAGACAGTGGATCTGTGGCCACTGACCTTCATCAAAGCTCTGACCAAGCTTGGAGAAGAACAGTGGAGTCCAAAAATTAGGCCGGGTGTTGTCACCTGGCGGCAGCAGCCACTGCATCAAGCTAGCATGGAGGGATAAATGGGAGGCAACACCACTTTACTGACTCTGCTGAGAAAATAGCTCCCTTTTATTCCTCCCCTCCCTGCAGTTCTTCCATCACAGCTGATCCTTGTAGGAACGTCTTGATTTTATGGTGCCTATTCTGGGCTAGATGCCCTCTGGATCTTCTGGCTGGGAACTTCCAATGCTCCTGATGACTAACCATAGTGGGAGAGGAGAACTCCAAAACATCTGTAGGACCTTCTCCAATTAAGTTTACTAATTTACTCCTCCTTCAATGTCTCTTTATTTATTTGTTTATTTATTTAGATCTTTTTCTATGCCATCCACTACTAAAAGAAGTCTCTGGATGGTTTACAAGGAAAGCTGCAGTGAACATACACACTAGGGGAAACAATGCCTTAGAAAGCAGAGAAATGTTATAGGGGAACAAATTTTGTTTTCCTTTATAACATAAATCAACGCAAACACTACAGATCAAGAACAACCCAGTACCTAGGTCCAAGTTTAGAAGAAATATTAATGAAAATCAGAAACTGAAAGCATAACTGTTTATAGGTATGTCAGGATGATTCATAAAATGTTATACATATATAGCAAATGTTAAATTTCCCAATTTTACTCTCATGTGTAGTTTGTATTCTTGCTTGTATGAATTTACAAAATAATAAAACATTTACAGGGGGAGGGTATTAAAAGCTATTCCATGCCACTTGGTATAGCATCAGCAGCAAAGCACTTTATTCATAGCAGGATTTCTGTATGTCACATACTTTCCTCTCCCCCACCTGCAAATACTCCGCAACCTTTGTTACATGCAACCAATTCAGAAAACCTGCTCAAATGATTGATCCCTGGCTGCAGTGGGTTAATATTTTCCCAGCACTGCAAGCATTCATCTCACATATAACTCATTTCTTTCTTAACCTAAACTGGGTTCTTTATCCACACATACTTTGTAACTCATCTTCAAATAGTTCCTGCTGATCATTGCTGACTTAGCTATTTGGTAAGATTTTGAACTGCAGTTTGTTGTTCTTGTTTTTTTCTTCGCTAATCCTTTTCTTGAAGAGTACATATGTTGTGCCTGCAACAACATTTTTAAATACCTCAGAACCTCTGAAGTATTTGGAAGATTATGCTGTAAAAGATAATTATGTAAAAGGACATTTCACTGGAGACCAAGATCAGGATTATACCCACTACTGTATTCCTGATCAGTTTTATGGGTATGAAAGCTGGACAGTGAAGAAAACAGGAAGAAAACTAATGCCTCCAAAACACGGTGCTGGAGGAGAGCTTTGCAAATACTCTGGAACTACAGAAAGATGAATAAGTGGGCCCTGCATCAAAGCAATCCAGAACTTTCCCTAGAAGCAAAAATGACAAAACAGGCATATCAGGATAAGGCAAGACTCACTGGAGAGCACAAAAATGCTAGGGTAATTCAGAGATGAAAGAAGAAATAGTACAGGAGCTACAAAATTGGCTGATTCCATAAAAGAAGTCACAGTCTTACATTTTGGAGGAGGTTCCAAAGGATCACCATAAGTCAGAGATAACTTGACGGCATGTAACAAAAACAAGACAAATTCCCTAATATATCAGCAAGTGGTCACTTTTGAGCTTGATGTTGTTAGTTATAAGCTCCTCAAAAGTATTTAAATGTATCAGCTAGAGAGGTGGTTATTAAATGATGGAATTAAAGGCATACTAAAGGAGGATAAGGAGGTTGCAGAGAAGCTGAATGAATTATTTTCATCTGTCTTCACAGCAGATAATATTGAAGCGTTACCAATTCCTGAACTTACACGTTCAAGAAGGAGGCAAAGCAATTAAGGAAGATACTTTTGACAAAAAATGAAATGCTCACTGTCATTGACAAACAGTATATCATCAGGCCCAGATAGTATCCATCCTAGAGCTCTTAAAGAACACAGGTTGGAATTGCTGACCTTTTTACAAAAATATGAAACATGTCCCTACGGTTAGCCTCTGTGGCAGAGGTCTGGAAATTTGCCAAGGGAACACCGATTTTTAAAATGGGATACAGGGTATGGTGAGTGGGATCCAGGGAATCACAGTTAGTTAGCTTAAAGTGAGTTCTAGAAAAACTAGATGAAAGCATTAATGAAGATACAGAAAGCAAGCCTATAGAAAGAGAACCCCTGCTAAAAATAATCAATATGGCTTCTACAAAGGTAAATCCCATTTCACTAATCTTGTAGATCCCTTTGAGAGTTCTAATAGACAAGAGCATAGAGTCGTTCTGAAGAACTTCAAAAAGGCATTTGGCAAAATCCTTCAACAAATTCCCTGAGCAAGCTTAGCAGTCATAGAATAAGGGAAGTCCTCTTGTGGATCAGTTATGGGCTACACAACAGAAGCAGGCAACAGGACTAAATAAAACAACAACAACTCCATTTAGGAATGCTTAGAAATAGAATTCAAATAGCCAAGATCATAATCCCTTTATACCAATCTATGCTGTGACTGTGCTCAGAATATTGTGTATGGTTCCGATCCACACACCTGCAGAGCAGGGCAACTGCAATGATCAGGAGGTTGGAGGAACCTCCTGGTGATGAAGGTTTATCGCAGCTGAGCTTCTTTAGCTTACAAAAAGGGGTGAGAAACCCTGACAGAGTTCAGCAGAATTATTAATGTGGGAGAGGAAGTCATAGATACTTCTAATGCTAGAACCCAGAGTGATCCCATGAAGCGGTTTGGTAGAAGAACACATCAAAGGAAGAACTTTGAACACAGCACACAGTTATGGAATTCACTTCCATGAGATGTTATCGTGGTCACCCACCTGGATGGCTCTAAAATGGGACTGGGCAAGTTCATGGAGGAAAAGGCTGTCAAAGGCTTCCAGTCTTAAAAGCTGTGTGCTACCTCCAGTATCAGAGACCCTGTGATCATGCACACCAGTTATGGTGAAACTTGGCACACATATCCTATTTGTGGATGCTGGGGGAAATGGGCAGGCCACTGTGTGAACAGAGAGATGCACTCGATGGACCCTTGCTCTGATCCAGTAGGGATCTTATGTTCTTGTTAAAAAGCCAGGAAATGCCATTTATTACTGCAAGACACCATGCACAGAATAAACTGAGACATTGCCATAATTACCCTTTCACTGCTCTTGATCTCACTACTAATTAAATTTATCAGCAGATCTGGACATTGAGATCTTTCTGCATATCCCAAGCTTTGATGATCCATTGAGGACTAAAGTAAGTTATCACCACGGACTACAGAAATGTTAACAATTGTGTTCTGATCAGAGAGGAAAGCCTTCACCCAAGCTTGATGAATTACAGCTATTTTTGGAATAAACTAAACCAGTTGCTTCTGAATATTTATTCTGAATATAGTGGTAGGAGAGGAGAGACAGGAAGAACAAAGTTCACAAGAGTGATTTTAAAAATCTCTTATCTTTTCTTTTTGCTGCATGTGACTGTGGTGTCACATGGCTGAGATACTGAGAGGACAATTGTCAAGATGGTAAAGGACACCACACTTTATACAATATACTGTAAAAATGATTATTAGATAGCACAGTCCTCTGGCTGCTAGACAGAGCTACAGCTACGGGACTGGCAAATCACCCTGACCTTATAGTTGGTCACTCCGCCCACTGCATTCACAGCCGCTGCAGAACTGCACAAGCTGCTTCTCTGAGGTCATAAAGGTGACCCAAAAGGTCTTTGGGGGTGTTCCTGGTGTGGGGAGGTGAGGACCATCAGCACCATCAGGGTGTGACGTATCCTGGAAACCACCTCATGGTCTTTCCTTCCCACTCCAAAACACTGGACATGGATGGGTGAAATTGGTCATCTAAGTATGCTTCAGATGAGAAGAGCACCTCCAAATTCTCCTGCCCTCTGGCATGGTCATGATCCAATGAGTTTGGAGGGTTCTGGGCACCCCATAGGATTGTGTCCTAAGGGAAAAATAGCTAAAGAAAAGATTAGAGTTGCAAACAACTCATAACGATGTGGATAAAATCAAATCTTTGTTGTATAACACAATTAAGTCTATGTTTAATACAGCCAAATTTGCGATGAAAGCCTTCCAACTGAGGCAAGCCTATACGGCTATTTTTGGTCTATGGACTTTGGCACTCCTATATGATTTATTATTGTAAAGGTTTGGCTGCAAATTTGTTTGGCTGTAAATTTTCTTTGGGGATATAATGTGTAATTAGTTGCCTAATAAACTTGATTTGGATTTAGGGAATTAATTGATTCATTGGTTTTAAAACATACAACATTGCTCAATTGACCAGCCTATCTTTATGGGTTTAAAAATATAAAATATTTGCTGAACATCTAGGGATATTCTAAATAGGGGCATAT